TAGAGGCACTCAGCCCATCAACACTTGTAGATACCCTGCCATCTCATAAGCGCTTTCAACTTCTTAGTCACCACAGTGACTCTCAACTCTGTTTTTTGGTTAATGTTCCCAGAATTTGACTCAATATCCCATCTGTAATCTCATCGCAATTATATCAGTGACTATCATTTGATTGCAATAATCACACAGCCTTTTTTGCTGCCCTATCCATTGGCAAACTCTGGTCCAATTTGCCACCTGCATCCATCCCAAGTTTCCTTCAGACATAAATGGTTTCTAGTTTTCTTTATAAAAGAAAAAAAAACCCTGTCCACTATCAGTAAAATCTATTCAGAAGGTGAAGATGAAATAACTTTCCCTGCAGAGCTCACCCATACAGCATTTTGCTCTGCTTCTAGGACAGCCCTTTGCTTGCTTATCTGTGCATGCTCCAAAATCTGAGATTACGGGGCATGCACAGCCCTGAGAATATAGCTGCTTGGTTTTCTATAGAAGCTGACCTGGTAGAAGGAACTACCACCCATCCGTTTCTGAAGGGTCCTGGTAAAAAGCATGGCTTTTTAAACAGCAACTTGCTGATGGTGTATTGTACTTAAAAGCAACCCAAATCTGGTTTTAAAAATGACTTTAGCCAATTGTGTCTAGGCCCCAATCCTGCAGCACATCACATGCATCCAGTCCCTGGGGTCTGTGTTGACCCCACTGCAGTTACTAGGACTCCAGCTGAGTGCAATGGATTCATCATGCAGATTTGATTTCAAAAGTCAGGACCTTAGCTTCTTCCTCCCCTAGGACTTGCCCACTGGACATTGCTGTTGTCACTTGCAAGGAACCAGCATGGTGGCACAAGTACAAAAGCCATGTGCTTTAAATTGGCTGAATCATGGGCAAGTGAAATGGAGGGCACTGACAGGATCATCTGAGATGCATATAAAAGCTAAAGCAACAGTGCTCTGCCAAAGCAGCTCGACCCTACCCATTACAGCTCCCTGCTGTTCCAGTACTGGCCACCCCTGGAGGTCTGCCAAGAGACCTCCCCCTGATCGGCTGCACCCTGTGGTTTATGAGCCAGGCTCGAGCAGAAAATCCTACGCAATACAACGCATGCCAGTAACTCTGTACAAAAGGATGAGGCGAAAGTGATTATTACTTGTGAATTGGTGATTCCCAATTCAACAAGTCAACTGAACCTTTGCCTCGCTCTGAGCCCCAAGTCCAGACCCCTCAAACTCATCTGCTGCAAAACACTCTCTTTGGGCACTGACAGCGCTCATCGAAATACGGTACTGCAAACTGCAAGCCTGAAGCCTTCACGAATGAGTCAAGACAAATAAGTTCCTTCTGTTTTCAGCTCCACCCTGAACCTTGACCCACTTGCAGGTGGTTTGTTATTTCAAACCATCTAGGTCCAAGCTGGCTGGCTTCTGGGCCAAAGTGGAAGTGGCATTCACAGAACAGGTCTCCAAAGGCGTTCCTCAAACACCCAATCATCTCCCCAGACAAGAGGCATGCGCAATGTTGTAATGTACTGAGAAACATCAGCATACCTGGAGATGCAGAGAACATAGAGCAAGGTGCTCTAAAAAGCTTACTTACTTCAGGAAGGCCTTCGATACGGTATCCCACCCCATACTGGTGAACAAGTTAAGAGGCTGTGACTTGGATGACTACGCAGTCTGGTGGGTGGCGAATTGGCTGGAGGGTCGCACCCAGAGAGTCGTGGTGGACGGGTCGGTTTCGACCTGGAAGGGTGTGGGCAGTGGGGTCCCGCAGGGCTCGGTCCTTGGACCGATACTCTTTAATGTCTTCATCAGTAACTTGGACGAGGGAGTGAAGTGTACTCTGTCCAAGTTTGCAGATGACACGGCTATGGGGAGAAGTGGACACGCCGGAGGGCAGGGAACAGCTGCAAGCAGACCTGGACAGGTTGGACAAGTGGGCAGAAAACAACAGAATGCAGTTCAACAAGGAGAATGCAAAGTGCTACACCTAGGAAGGAAAAATGTCCAGCACACCTACAGCCTAGGGAATGACCTGCTGGGTGGCACGGAAGTGGAAAGGGATCTTGAATCCTAGTGGACTCTAGGATGAACGTGAGTCGGCAGTGTGACAAAGCCATCAGAAAAGCCAATGGCACTTTATCGTGCATCAGCAGATGTATGACGAACAGATCCAAGGAGGTGATACTCCCCCTCTATCGGGCGCTGGTCAGACCGCAGTTGGAGTACTGCGTGCAATTCTGGGCGCCGCACTTCAAGAGGGATGCAGATAAACTGGAGAGGGTCCAGAGAAGGGCCACTCATATGGTTAAGGGCCTGCAGACCAAGCCCTACGAGGAGAGACTAGAGAACCTGGACCTTTTCAGCCTCCGCAAGAGAAGGTTGAGAGGCGACGTTGTGGCTGCCTATAAGTTCATCACGGGGGCACAGAAGGGGACTGGGGAGGGTTTATTCACCAAGGCGCCCCCGGGGGTTACAAGAAATAATGGCCACAAGCTAGCAGAGAGCAGATTTAGATTCGACATTAGGAGGAACTTCTTCACAGTTCGAGTGGCCAAGGTCTGGAATGCCTATGCAGGGGGTCGGACTCAATGATCTATTGAGGTCCCTTTCGACCCTAACATCTATGAATCCCGATGAGAAACCTTGATCCTGGTCTCCAAACTCCATGGTGCTGCAGAAGGTTATCCCCCACCCTATACAGCATGCGGACAGAATAAGAGCAACAGCAAAGATGCCCACAACCGATTCCAGCACATTTTCTTAATTCATCAGTCTCTGTAAAGAAACCCTAAGTTGTTGCTCCCTGCTAAATATCACAGGATTGCCCACTTATGTGATATTTACTGCAGATGTGCTGCTGAGGAGCAGCTATTTCACCTTGTGCTGTGTGGCCCTCAGGGAATGCAATGCTCTGGACACTTACACCGATAAATAAGTGCCATCTCTCTTTGAGAGACAATTTCTCCTTGCCCCAGGATGAAACTTCAGTAAGCTATCTTTTCCAGGTAAGCAGAGCACGGCGCAGGGACAACTTTGTGGGCCCCTGGCTCGAGGATAGCGGTGCTCTAGCCCCAGCATGTAAGATTTTTGTTTCAAGCAGGTGCAGGGTCCAGACCATGACAGGGCTAAGGGAACTATGGGGAAGTCACTATGTGAATTCACTTGGAAGCAACTGGTCCCCTGCCAAAAGCAGCCATTAGGATGTGTTTTCTGTCATGTAGGGGTCATGAATATCCTTCCAGTGGTTTGCCCTTTCCACTGCTTCCTAGGACATACCACGTTGTTTCCTTATTTCCAGCTGGAGATCCCCAAGGAGCAATAAAGAGTAGGTTGGAGAGAGATAGCAATGTCCCTTGACCTTGGAAAAGGACAGTCTCTCTGCTGGGATTCACGGAGGAACCTAAAATGAAAGCACCGTATAACCTGCCAGAGCCTTTAATGGCACTTCTGGAGTTCTTGTTCAAGTCAGGTACAAGAAGATCAATACTGAAGGCCTGACTAGTACGTAAGTAGGCTCAGCGAGTTCAGGCTCGAGGAGGAGAGGCATCCCGTAGTCCAGCCTAAAGAAAATACAGCCATTCTCTGTTCTCTGAATAAAACTGATTTCTGTTAACAGCATTTTTGCAGTAAAAGGGGGGGAAAAAACCCCTTGGTCCAAGCCGAGCTTTCCATGTCAGCTCCTTCAGTGGGTTTAGCAGAAACCTAACAGTTAACACTGGAAAGAGCTGCTGCCAACACCACGGCAGGATTTCATCCAAAAGCAAAGTCCAATTGTCCTTGACTACATCCAGCGTGCTGTAATCTCACTGCCAGGCCGTCAGTCCTAATACCAGGCTTCAATCCTCCCTTTCTTAGCTGGAGTTCATCTCTTTTCTTGCCCCCTGAGCCAACGTGAATGCCCCGGCTCCTTCCTGTCGGCTAGGCCGGCCCCGTTCTCCCTGCCGCAGCGCACAGCTGGCTTCTGGAGGCTGTGCCTGCATCCCAGAGAATCGCAGCAGTGACCCTGGCCAACAACATGCCAGCTGGTCCCAGCTCTGCTCCTGCTTTTTCATGCGGTCGCTTTGGCTGCACTTGCAGTTAAACACCGGTCAGCCCAGGTTCGCTGCACTTGGCGGCCGTCTTGGAGCCCTGGCCAGGCCCGCAGGGCTCCCCATGAGGAAACATTTCTGTGCACAGCTCTGGAGCCTTCCCTCCGCTCAGTCCCACCCCGGTATCCCGGCCCTTGCCGTGGGGATGGAGCCGTCTCCTTCTTGGGGCCGCAGCCTACAAGGGCTCACAAAGGTGCAACCTCCCAGCAATGCTCCTGGCCCCCAGTCCTGCCACAGCCTGCACGACTGGAGTGGGAACTGGGACTGGACCATGAGGTGTTCCCACTACCACCACCATCTCTGCCAACAGGTGCAACTGCCACTACCACCATGGCACCACCGTCTTTGCCAACGGGTGCTAGTGCCACTACCAACATGGCACCACCATCTCTGCCAACAGGTGCAACTGCCACTACCACCATGGCACCACCGTCTTTGCCAACGGGTGCTAGTGCCACTACCAACATGGCACCACCATCTCTGCTAACAGGTGCAACTGCCACTACCAACATGGCACCACCATCTCTGCTAACAGGTGCTAGTGCCACTACTACCATGGCACCAC